CAAGCGGCCATGGTTGAGAAACACTGATTTAAAGAAGATCAACTCTAATCCCCCGTCAATTTTGCTTCTTTAACTTTTGAGTAAATATGAAGAACAGAGGTCCCTGCTCTGTAAAACTGAATATACAGATTCTTTATTCATGAAAATATATTTTCATGTAGTGACACACACGCTCTGTTCCTTTGGGCCGAAGACGAGCAGAGCCTGCATGTTTAATCTGTTCCTAGTCTGTGCTAATAAAACCCCAAAGTAACCAAGATAGGCTGTGTCTAATCCAGGAGGGAAAAAACCAAAATTCCTGAAAAATATAGAGGGTCAACCACAAAACCTTGTGAGTCATCCGTAGGTTGAAATGGACCCACCGAAATAATTAAACAGAAGGGGGAAAAAAGAGAGGATTTATACCAGTTCTCTCTTGAAAGGCTAGGGGCATTGGGGACAGAGGGTGGTGGGAAAAGTCGAGAAGAGAGTTTGGTGTAGTGGTTAGAGCTGGATTAGAACTGGGAGGCTGTGGGTTCTAGTCCTGCCTTAAGCACAAAACCAGCTGGGTGACTTCGGGCCAGTCCCTCTCTCTCAATCCAACCCACCTCGCAGGGTTGTTGTTGTAGGGAAAATAGGAGGCAGGAATGTTACGGTGCCTTGAGCTGCACCAAATAAAGGCGGGATATAAATCTAATAAAAAATAAATGTTGCTTGCAACCGTAGAACTGAAGCGCCACTGCTTTTCAAACACAGGCAGGACTTCTATTGCATTTTCCCAACTGCCATCTTGACTTTTTTGACCCCCAGCCTCATCCACGCCTTGCAGGGCCTTGCTTGGGGATTCCTGCCAGCCACAGGATTTTGGACAAGGGAAGATTCCTAGCGGATGCTCTTCTTCAACTCTGCTGCCCCCCGCCTTTAAGAAAATAAAACGGCATAAATGAAAAAGAGCCTCATATCAAAACAGAGAGGTGTCCCCGGAGAATTATCCCCAAGTTGTCTCGTCGTGAATTAAAAACGGGAGGGAAGTATAGGCTGGAAAAGGCAGGGGAGAAACCCACAGGGGAGAACAGCTCTCTCCGGGCAGATGACGCGGCTTCGGGCTTGTTCACACAGCCGCGGTTTGCTTTATACTGTGAAAGCTAACCCTGGTTGGAGAGGTGGGGATGGACATGGCCCGAGCCACGCGGATCCGGAGGGAATGGTGGTCTTGCCAACGGTGCCACCTTTTCCTAGCGGCCGAACGTACCTGGAAGGGCCCAGAAAGAGAGGATCTGGTTAGGGGTGGGACGGGGCAGATCCAGCGACGCTTCTCTAAGTGGAAAAGAATCAGGATTACCTTAATACAGTGTTGTCCAAACTTGGCCACTTTAAGATGAGTGGACTTCAACTCCCAG